GAGAGCAGATGGAACGGATGTGGAAGGAACCAACTATCAACTGGAGAGACAATAATCTACTCCGGTCACCCAGAGGACAATCACGAGCACACCGAGGGAGTAGCCATCATGATGTCACCAACAGCGGCTAAAGCTCTCATGCAGTGGGAACCAATCTCCTCCAGGATAATGACAGCCAGGTTCAACTCAAAAGGAAAAAAGGTTACAATCATTCAGTGCTACGCGCCTACAAACGCCTCAGAACATGAGAAGAAGGAGGATTTCTACAGTCAACTACAAACAGTAATGGACAACGTCCCAAAGAGCGATATCAAAATCCTGATGGGCGACATGAATGCGAAACTGGGAGGAGACAATACAGGAAGAGAACTTACCATGGGTCGTGAGGCCCTCGGTGAAATGAATGAAAATGGCGAACTCTTTTCAGACTTCTGCGCCTTCAACGATTTGGTGATTGGTGGCAGTGTGTTCAAACACAGGGATATACACAAGGCAACATGGATTTCACCAGATGCACACACCAAAAACCAGATAGACTTCATTTCAATCTCAAGGAAGTGGAGACGGAGCCTACTGGACACAAGATCGAGGAGAGGAGCAGATGTGGGTTCAGACCACTATCTAGTACAAGGGACTTTCAAGGTGAAGCTGAAAGCCTCGAGGATAGCTGGGGATAGGCCACAATGCAAGTTCAGCACTCACAAACTGAAGGACACAATCACACAGGACATTTTCACTGCAACTGTCAGAGCAAAGCAGGAAACACTACGTGGCACCACTGAGGAATCATCCGTGGAAGACCATTGGAACTCTCTGAAGGTAATTTTCAACGAGACGTGCTCAACGGTTTTAGGAAGAAAGAAGAGACAAGACAAGGAATGGCTCTCAACAGACACTTGGAAACTAATAGAGGAGAGGAGAAAAGTGAAAGAGAAAATGATTCAATGCAAAGATGGACAAGAGAAAGAGACGCTGAACTCAACTTACACAGCACTGGACAAAGAAGTGAAGAAGAGTGCCAGGAAGGACAAAAGACAATTCTACGACAACCTGGCTACTGAAGCTGAGAAGGCAGCAGGCAAAAGGGACCTGAGGACACTATATCAGATAACCAAGTCTCTATCCGGGAAGAGATCAACACAAGTGAAACCTATAAAAGACAGCCAAGGGAACCCAATTACCAAAGAAGAAAGACAGATTAAACAATGGGCGGACCACTTCAAAGGACTCTTGAATCGACCACCACCTACAACCCGTCCAGTAATACCAACAACAGCACGTACACAACTGCTAGTTGACACCAATCCTCCAACGAAAGCTGAAGTCCTGAATGCAATCAAGCTTCTGAAAGCTGGAAAAGCAGCTGGACCAGATGGAATACCCCCGGAAGCACTGAAAGCGGACACAGAAACGACGGCAGATATGCTGACTCCATTATTGCAAAAGATCTGGAAAGAGGGAAAGGTGCCTACTGACTGGAGGAAAGGTTACCTGGTGAAACTACCAAAGAAGGGCGACCTGGGACTCTGCAAGAACTGGCGAGGAATCATGCTCCTGTCGACGCCAAGTAAGATCCTGAGTCGCATCATCCTGGAGAGAATCAAGGACGCGCTGGATACAGAACTCCGACCAGAACAAGCCGGATTCAGGAAAGGCAAATCATGTTCTGGCCAAATTGCAACTCCACGCATTATCATCGAACAAAGCATGGAATGGCAATCAAATCTCTACCTCAACTTCATAGACTTTGAGAAGGCCTTCGACAGCGTTGACCGCGAAGTAATTTGGAAACTACTCGAGTACTACGGCGTACCCCAAATATTCATCAACCTTATTCAACAGCTGTACGACAACGGCACATGTCAAGTGATCTACAACGGAAAACTCAGCGAAGCGTTTGGAGTAAACACAGGAGTCAGACAAGGGTGCTTATTATCACCAATGATATTCCTAATTGTGGTGGACTGGATCATGCGTCAGACAGTGGGAAACGAGAAGACAGGGATATCCTGGACCGACGTGAAGAACCTAGAAGACCTGGATTTTGCGGATGATTTATGTTTGATGTCACACAAAATCGAAGACTTACAAGCGAAAACCGACAAACTGGTCGAAGAAGCAGCAAAGACAGGACTCCAGGTGAACATAGACAAGACGGAGGTCATGAAAATAACCAACCAACAACAGCAGCAACATCCAGTGCCAATCACCATCAACGGGAGGGATTTGAAAGAGGTTACTTCTTTCACTTATCTGGGGAGCATTGTCTCAACTACAGGAGGAACGGACGAGGATGTCAAATCGAGAATCAGGAAGGCGAGAAACACATTCATCAACCTGAAACCAATCTGGAAATCTTCGTCACTCAACCCAGCATCAACAACAAAATTCGGATTTTCAATACAAACGTCAAGTCAATTTTGCTTTACGGATCAGAAACTTGGCGGGTCACCAAGAATATTTTCAACAGGTTGCAGACCTTTATCAACAACTGTCTTCGCTCCATACTGAAGATTAGATGGCCAGAAAGAATCACAAACAAGAAGCTATGGGAACAAACGAAACAGGAACCAATCGCCCAACAAATATGCAGGAGGAAGTGGAGATGGATTGGACACTCGCTGAGGAGGCCGTTGAGTGACATCGCGCGTCAAGCCCTCGAGTGGAACCCGAAAGGGAAGCGGCGAGTGGGACGTCCAAGGGTGACATGGAGGAGATCGTGTGAGGAGGAGATGAAACAGTATGGAATAACATGGACGCAAGTGAAAAGTACAGCACAAGACAGAAGCAAGTGGAGACGTGCAGTTGAAGCCCTATGTTCCACTAGGAACCCAAGGGAACAATAATAATAATATCATTCCATCTTACCATAGACCTACAAGACTACTAGTGCAACCAGTCAACAAGGCTGTCAATGTACACTTTTAAACAGCTATTACACAGAGATGGTTTAACTGCTTCTCATACTTCACATCGAAGTTGCATCAGTGTAACACTTGATTGTAGACTGATCTCAGTGTTTAACTGAGCGGTACTCTGATATATACACAGGTGACTCATCAATATTGATTATTTATTTCCCACACGTGTATGATTATTGATTTCCCGCATCTGCATGATCATTGATTTTCTGCACCTGCATTTAACTACTGAATTCCCATGGTTTGTTAATATTTTAAAATGTGACATTGATTTTCCTAACTGTATAAATACGGGGTTTTTGTTTAACATTTCGACTGTTGTAGAGACAGTAAAAGCTCTCGTATCAACGTCCAGTCTTCTTTCCTTGTCTTGCGTGCCCGGCGGTATTGTTGTTGTTGTTGACGTGCGATTAGGACAGATTAGCCAGCGCATTAACTTAGATTCGCTCGTAGTCTACAAGGTCCTCATAATATTTCATACATAACATACTCACTCAACGTTTCAAATTGCCCTGAATGAATCCATGTCTGCGGTTGCCCCTGCCTGCCAACTGATGTCTATGCAGCAGATTATGACTACTTCTCCTAATTTTGTTCATTTGTCCTGTATATTTCAATAGTGTCTATCTGTGGAGACTATGGGATATAAAGTAGCATTATATCACTCTTCAAACTCTAACTGGCTTTCTTATCTCAAATGAAATCATAAATTATCACTACTGACCGCATTCACATTCTAATTTGTAATCCTAGAATAATTTCACTGACAGACTGACTGGTTTCAACGTAGAACTTTCCACAGATGTGCACCAGTTCGTTGCCACACTCCACACATGTAGAACACAAAGCAAGAAAATAGAGTAGAGACAGATTCAAAACAGAGATAATAAACTGAAATATGAGACAAAAAGAATAGTCCTTTGGAAGAATAATACAGTTTTATTGGATATTGTAAATCACAAGGAGTGAATGCATCTGCGCCATCACTGAGAACGATTTTGAGCCATATCACCAAGTGTCTGCAGCCATTGGTTCTTACCATCCTGAGAACCCTAGCCAGGAAGTCTACACCTCTTTAAGTGGCTTAAACTAACTGTTATGGATTTCACAAACTGATGATGACATGTTTTAGTTTGACCACCATTGACTCTTTTCCGACCTAATTCATCCTGTCAGCTAACATTGACCATCGAGGAAGACGGTCGATGACTAGACATGCATGTCCTAACCATCTCACTCAGTGTAACTGCTTCACAATCTCATCGACTGACTCTTCTACCTTACCTAACATGCGACACCTAATTTCAATATTACTCACCACTTAATATGGGAGATAGAACACAGACACCTATAATCAAAGACAGCTAGCCAGGCTTTTTCATGTCTTCCATTTTCAATGGCCATGTTCCATTCACAGCCATAAAGGAGAACAAAGAGAACTGCTGAGTGGTACACATGCCCTTTGATTGATAACCAGCCGAATATCAAGTCTACGTCAGATATTACTGAGAAATAGAGCCTTTCCGATTATTTGCCGCCTCCCCAAATGTAGGTTTTTAGATCATTTACATGAGTGAATAGTGATTTGAATGCTACACAACATGTACACTGTTGAAATTTCGTACAGAAGTCAAAGATATTTTTGTAACCCAGTGAAAAGGTTGTAGAATTCCATCATCAGCTGCTTTCGCTGGCTCCATATTGAAGCGTAAATGGCCATCCGGCCATTCGAAAAGAATTAATAACAAGAAACTCTGGCTGTCTGGGAGCAAACCAACCAAGAACCTATTCATCAACAAATATGTAGGAGAAAATGGAGATGAATTGAGCACACACTGAGAGGAGACAGTCGAATGACACTGCACACCACGCCATCGGTCGAATGGAACCTGGATGGAAAACGACAATTCAGGCATCTATGGGTGACATTGTAGAAGACCATAGAATATGGGCTATCGTGGAACCAGCTAAAGAGGACCACAGAAAGCAGAACAAAGTGGATATGTGTTGTTGAATCCCTACATTCCACTCGGAACCCAAAGGAACAATAAATCATAATAATAACAATAGTGGTGAAAACGTCAACCCCATGTAATATAAAAGAGAATAATAAACAACAATACTCATGTGAACATATATAAATCAATAACGTCATGTGTGCATATAAGAGAAAAATATACAAATGAAATCACAAAGGTAATTCTTCTGGTCTAATAGCTAATCTAACATCGTCAGGAAACAATTCACTAGCTCTTGAATGCATTGAACGATAGGTACATGTGATTGTAGCTTCAGCACAACCTGCAACATCACCAATTTCTAAAAAAAAAAAAAAAAGAAAAATTGAAAATTAATAGCATATGAATATCAACATTTAAGGATAATAATTTTACTTAATCATTGTAAAAAAAATTGTTACTTTTTCGAACACAGATTTACAAGAATATACACCAACCAATTTTTGATGCATCCATAATTATCATCAGTGCGAGAAATTTGTAAATCATCACTTTCACTTATCTGGGCAGCATCGTTCCATCTAAATGAGCCAGGATCACAAAAGGCAAGAGACACATTTACATTATTTTCTACAATCACTGTGAAAATCTACTAAGGATAAAGAACAAGATTTGGATTTTCAACACTAATCCCAAATCAGTCAACGTTTCTATACACTTCAGAGAATTGACGCCATACGAAAACCATTTAGAACAGACTGCACACTATTATCAATGAGTGCTTCCACTCAATACCAGAGATCATACTGTAACAACAGAAGACAAGGGTCAGGCAACAGATCGTTTATTAAGGAAAATCAATACATGTTTATAGATTTTAATGTACATTATTGTAGATTATTGTTAGTAAAAAATACAGTCTTTTGATTGCTTGTTTCTCACAGAAAGTTAACCTTGTATCTCTTTGTGGCTGTATCAGATCATCCATATGCTAACTGTATCCGCCTACGCAAAGCCTTTGTTCTCATTTTCTCACCACCAATATTGGGGACATAAACAGTGACATCAATTACTGTCTACCAACTTTGGCTAGCAACCAGCTCTCATCACAATACTACAACAGCAGAAGGGAAGCTAAAGTATATATCCAAGCGACCACACAGCTATATATATATATATATATATATATATATAGTTTATATTCTTTAACAAATCACTGAGCTTGTGTTTTTTGTTAGCATTAAACGACATGAAATAGAATGTTCAAATATATATAGTATTCTGTTGCTAATGCAGTTTTCAACTGAGGGAATATGTGAGAATAATATTTCGTTGAAACACATTATCTGTACCACACCACCACAATATGACCAGAAGAGATTGGAGACGAGGTACTCTGGAAACGAACCGACCCAGAACCTATAACTCAATAAATATACCAAAGAAAAATGCAGATGGGCCAGATACACGTTGAGGACAATGTCGAGTGATATTGTGAGCCAGACTCTTGAGTGAGACTCGATCAGCTGAGTATCTGAGGGTGAGATCGTGTGAGGAGAAAATGAGAGCTTACAGGTGGTCGTGGAGCCAACTAAAGAATATAACGAAGATGTGCTGTTGAAGGCTAATTTTCCATTCTGAAAATAATAATATTAATTAATACCAATTTCTAAGATTTTCTTATTCCTTTATGCTCCAAGTGTAACATAGGACTTCAAGATGGAGCTTTGAATCTTCGATAGCAGTAATTTTATTTTGATGAGATGGATTTGCAAGCCTCACACCTAACCTCCTTTATTTATCGGCTTTACTACGGCTTAGCGAGGCCGGGAATCGAACTCCGGGTCACATGCATGTTTGGCGAGCTGGACCACCGACGCACACTTATACGATTTTACTGAGGAAATATTTTCCTTAGTGAAACAACAGAATGTGACAGAAAAATTCATCGAGAAAACATTTAGTTTTTAATTAGGTTGTTGTCGTTGATATATTTTTAAAAATACAATACGCAAGGCTCATCAGATCTTTACAAATGTATGGAAAACAGAGAGTGATTAGAGTTTAAATTATATTAAATAATGAATTGATTGGCTCAAATTGACTTTAAGTTAGTGATACGAACAATAAGTTGATCATTTTGATTGATGGTGACTACCGGCAGAGGAATTTAGGATGCGCAATTCGTCATATTTGTGACTCATCATCCGGATGTATCTGGATTTCCTAGTGAATGGTCGATAATGTTCCTATTGGGATTCAAACCCTAATGCGTTCGTTACCTACTAACTAGGTGCCAGCGTGAATGATGAGAGTCACCTTTTATGCAATGGATACTACCTGTTATATGTTTAAGACCATAGTACTAAGAGAAGACATGCCAACAGAGGCCGACGATTTCGGCTCAATACAGTCAGGCCCACCAACGGAGAATACAAGATAACTTAAACAAAGATTGATGAACATTTTTGGAATAGAATGAGGTTTAAAATGTAGTGAAAGTGAAGTACATGATACAACCATACATAATGTGTTTGCTTTTTATGATTACAGAACAATCGACCATGTTTGGTTTTAACAGACTTCAAACCTATAAAATAAATGTGTTTTTTTACACGGGGAAGATGTATGTGTAACATTTGGGAGAAGAAACAATCACCTCTCAGTCAAGTCTCCAGTAAACAAGTAGATAAACTGTGCATAATATATCAACGTGTTTTAACATTCACTATTTACCTGTGCCCTTCACTTGCTGACTTAATTTTATTGGTGAATTAACTTATGGTTGCTAAATTATCTTAATTATTACACAAGGTAAGGCCGAGTGATATAAATGGTGTTAAGTTTCGGCACTCGTGTGTGGCGGAGGCGCTAGCAATTCGTCCGTCAACATAAGCCCGGACATTTTTGTGCAGAAAAGGTTTATTTAGTGCCTTATTCCACCATGGGGTATTAGGTTCTTCCCTACATGTTCGCCTCTGTTACATGTACGTAATTCACTAATATCAGTCTTCATAGGATGGACCACCCATTGGTGTTAGCCGTGAAGTCAAGATTGCTGCATACACTAAGATGATAACCTGATTGGATGGTTTTTGGCTAGAGAATTTTTAAGATCATATAAGCAATCACAGATACTGATTATTTACCTGTAGACTAAATTTCCCAAAGGATTTGTAAGCTATATATACTACATATTTTCAACAATAAAAGTTGGTCGTTATTGTCGCAGTTAAGTTTGATTTTTGTGTGTATCCCAGTGTAAGGAACATTTTCAAGTGATCAGTAATTGGTTAGTGCTGTGTTTGGAGGCACATCCTAGTCAAGTTAGACGATAACCATGAATCAGTACGAACTTTTGGGCAAAGCTCAACAATAGCGTCTCAAGGGATGCGAACGCACGAGTGATCTTGAACCAAACAACCATAAAAATAAGTGACTTTTCCACGAAAAATTACGTTTACTTACAAGAAAATACATGAAAACACACCAAACAGGGTATCTTTCTCTTACATAACTTAAAAATACGTTCCAGTTATAATCAGAAGTATCAGTTGCTAAGTTAGACTAGTTTCTGTACATGTATTCACCGAGGGGACTAAAAATGAGCTGTTTTTGTGACCCGTTTATCTCTCCCATGCTGTTGTGCAGTCTTCCGCAAAGGCCCTCGGTTGAATTACTATGGTTTCCAGTTAGAGGATCAACGACTATTTGCCAGGAAATGTGGATAAGAAAATAAATTGAAATAAATGACATCTACTCTAAATCTATGCTTAGACGTAACTCTAACCTTAATCCTGACCCTAACCCTAAACTTAACACTAACCTTAATTACAACCCTTAACCTAACCGTGAACCTAACGCTAATGTCAATTATGACTTAACACTAACCCTAACATTGGCGCTAACCCTAACTATAACCCTTATCCCAATTACAAATTATAACCCTGATCCTAACCCTAACTCTAATACCTACCTTAACCATAATCCTAACCCTAGAGAGCTAGTAACACATTATCTAAACAGTACTTAAAAACTTGATCTGACTGAAATTTGCTCCTTAGTTGGTGAAAAGCGTTCGTATTTGTGCTGTAGTAATAACAGGTATCCTAAGAGAACGACTAGCATGCATTCAAGGCCATCGGAGCGTTCGCGTCCCTTGGGACGCTACTGTTTAACTTCGTCAAGTCTTGTCTTCCTTTTGTATATTTCACTAAGCTTTTTCTTCTCATCTTCATATAGTCACTAAAACGCCTTACTTCTCATCGAATAACAACATTCCTCTTATCAAATTTTGAGCCCTTACTTGCATTAAGACGTTGACTACTACATAATTTCTGTCTTTGGAAACCAATTCCGAGTTATTGCATCAACTATGTCACACACACCCTACTACTACTACTACTAAATAATAGACAGTTACACGTTTTTGGTAAATATAAATACGGCCATACAGTCTCCGAAGATGACTTCGTCTACAAAAGCAGTTTTCTTTGCTGAATTGCATCTCACTTTTTTCATGGCTAAATTTATGCATTTAGGCATTGGTTAAAGGTTTGATCAGGAGCTGATATCAGTTAAAGGACCATTGTAAACCACAACAGGGGGTACTAGACAGCTGATTCTTCCTAGTTTGGAACTCTTCATTAGTACACGCCCAAAGGGGTTCAAACGCAGGACCTTTGAGTTACAAGGTGAACTCGTAGGTCATTCAGTACCTAGACCCGATCCAATGACCAGCCCATGAATTTCAACTTCGGCCCATACGCGATATACATAGCACAATCGCCAGATAATATCAGTAGGCGAGTAACTCTATTGTGGGTAAAATTTATTTTGATAAAGTCTCACAGTGTTATACAGTAATATTTATAATAATGGAATTATATAAACGAAGTTAGAAAGTTGTGTGAGTACGTTGATATGATTATGAGCAGCAATAAATTGTGCTCGAAAAGTCATCAGTAAATATTACTGTATAACAGTGTGAGACTTTATCAAAGTAAATTTCACCCACAATGGAATTATACTTAAATACAGTGCACAAGTTCTATGCTTATATCAAGCGAGTAACTGCTCTCTTGCCCGATTCGGTAGGCCCCGCTAGGTTAAGACTTCTCACTAGAACTCCAGGTAACTCCCTTTATATAGTCAGTGTCTAGTTAGTAGTAGTACCAGATTAATTATAGAGTGTTGGTTTGCAGACATTTGATTGGTTATATGTTTGGTCATGAGGTATTATTATTAGTGTAGAGCCCTTTAGCGATCACTTTATGAAATATTTTAGAGATTTCACCAAGTGCACACCGAAGTATGTGAACAAACACAACTAATTCAAACAAAATAAATATTCTACAGTCAAGAAAAAACAATTAAAAATTTACCTCGTTTCTCTTTCCGGTAACCTAATGCATAAGCAGCCATATAAATCGCCGCTGCAGCCACTGAAACTGGACTTCGACCAGCAACCAAATTTAAGTTCAACGCTCTTCTGGCGACCACATTTGCAACTCTTTGAACAGCAATATTCAGATTTAAGTTGCCACAGAATCTTGACATAAAGTCTTCGACTGTCACAGATTGTACATTTGTTTCCAGGATCTTTAGAATCTTTTTAAATACTTTGCCTATTTCTTTTTTCGATACTCGTGATACAGCGCACACCTCTGAAAAAAATATGTAGATGATTTTAACAACATATAAACAAGTTGGAATAAGTAAACATCTATGTTTTCAAGTCACAGTCTGTAGGGATTTCACTGGTTCCAGGTTTGATCTTGGAATGATATCAGTAACAGAAACACTGAACATACTGGACGCCAATTTTGTGCTAGTCTGGGACTTTTCAGCAAAAAGCACTTATGACCCAACCACCTGGAATCGAACGAAAGGACCTTCAGGTTACGAGACGAGCTCACTGATCATTCAGCCACTGAGACGGAATCCAATGACTCATGAATTATAACTTCTACCAATTCACGATAGCCAGTAGGGTCTAATGCCGCTTTGTTCATCAGAATCTTATGTGGGGTTTCAGATGTCGTAGTTGCGGATGCCTTAAATTCTTCCCTATTTATCTTATCGTCATTAGCTATAGTACTGTTTTACTTTTCTTGTGAGCTTTCTTCATGACCTTCATGAACTTTGTAGGATAGTTATTTAGCGCCAACGCTGACTCTATCTATTTCACCTCATCATTTAGATTTTCTGACTACCCAGAATTTTCTCTCGGCTTTTTAGACGTTTGTCTAAGCCTATGTTTACAGATAACAAATGAGATGACTTGAAGCCGAAATATCCATTAGAGTGCATAGTTTACCTTCTCTTGTTCGTTTTACTTTGCAGCCCAATTCTCCTTGTTCATTTTTGACTCAAATGTAAATTTAATTTCTTTTACTACTGAGTTTACACGTGTAAAGAAACTAGAGACATGATGTAATTTTAACGTCGTGAAAGTGTCACCTACACATCTCCACGATTTCTTTGGGATAGGATTAAATGTATTAAGAGCCATATTTTCCCAGTTATCCATAAAGACATCTGCTAGGATTTGGGATATTGGTGATCCCACTGATACATCTCCCGTTTGTCCACATATTTCCCCCTGAAATTTGAAGGTTGTAGACTTGAGGCACAACAGAATTCCTAAAATAATTTCCCCAATGGATAGTTTTGTCCCACGAGTGAGTTCGGGACCAGCAGTTAGTTCTTTCCTAGCTGCTTCCAAAGCCATATTGGTTGCCATGTTAGCATAGAGACTAGCTATTTGAAAACTGACCATTTTTGCATTATTTTCTGTTTGAATGTCATTTAGTTTCTTTTTCACCTCATATGATTCAGTTGATCTACGGTCCAGACGATTTTTGATGGGACATAATATTAAGGCTAAGTGTTTAGATAATTTATAAGTAAGAGTATTTGTAAAAGCAACCATTCATCTTATAATGTATCTTAATAGTACCATTATTTGTTTAAGACATTAAATTAAACCATTTAAACACACCTAGTGACAGTATCATTCGATGTACAAAATTAGCTGTAGATGTTTTAGTCTTATCACTGTCTACAGATTTCCTAATCTTTTAATATGGATCCAATTTTTTATGTATTTACTAACTTCCATGATATAGTCTTCTTTATGCATAACTACTGTGTTTGTATGCATGATAACCAACCAAGTTTGAAAGAGTAATTTGTGTAGTAAGCAACTGATCAGTGCTGTTACTTTTGGATTCATTAAATAATGCTTCTTCACAACTGCTGCCTATTTTAAATTCACTACTCCGAAGTAATTTGAGAAGCTGAACTAATAATACATTTGCTGTCTCAAAAATTACACAGTCTCAGTCCTATTTTAGAAAACGAAAGTTGACAACAAGTTATTTCAACCATACCTTTAAAGGTTCGCGGAACACCTTCTTGACGACAGGCCATATAAAGACAAGCGGTTGAAACCGCATCATTGCTACGACCTCGAAGATTCTTGGTCTCATGCACTTGTTTAAACAGTAGGTTGGCATGATCCTGTATGATATGAAGAAACCAAATACACACTGAAGAAGTAAGCTCTTCTTCTCAAATAATTATAAAAACACTTTCTTGAACATGCTGGGATTAATTTAAGAAATTTAAAATAAAAGCTACAAATTAGATTTTAATGATTTCTGAGTTTTTTAGGTGGTTTACACTTTTCCTATCTTAACATCAAAAATTTCGAAATGATACTACTTAAAAACTGTGAACCAAAATATTAGAGCTGAAGTGTGAGAGTTGTCGGTGTTGCTACCTCCTGAACGTTGTTGTTTGATAGAAATAAGTTTAAGAAACGTCAGTTTTGAACAAATTCTACTGATTTTTCGTCCAAAAACTAAATTCTCCCTTTACAAAATGACTTGTTTGAAACCTTTTCACTGCAGTAACAATCAAGCCGATCAAAGAAAGTGCTTCTCAATTTTTTGGTTCTTTTCTGTATTCTGACACTATTAACTGTTTTAACTGAAATGGACTACATCTGTCCCTAAAAGAAACTTACATGAGTGGCTAGTTCCTAAGGTAAACAACAACAAATGTGATGAAAAATGCTAAGTCAATTTATTGACTCTCATCGATTCAGTACTCATATCTTAGAAGTCACCATGTTTTACATAACATGGTAGTATCAGTCACAGAAGAATTCTGAAGCAACCCTAAGCCTTATAAGAACTAAACTACCAATCTTCAAACTAGTTGTTGGTCCAGCTTGTGCTGGTCACAAGATAAAGTTTCTCGGAGTGCTGGGAGGTAATGAATGCAGATACTATGTGGCATACTGAAACATATCGCAAAAGAGCTTATATGGTTGCTTCTTCTTTCCCGTAAGAGAACTGACAACTATTTTTGCTTCACACTTTTCCCAACGACGTTTAACATATTGCTCATGAGCTTGCAAACCTGAACACTTTAGCGTGGGACTTCAACTCTGTTCTACTTGTCTTCTATGTCAAAGGTCTTATAGGTTTAATAAGTAGTATAAGAGAATGCAGAACATTTAAGCATTCAGCAGTACTGAAGTAGTGCTTTTAAACAAAACACTCAATTATGGCAACCGTACAGCTACTGAGGGTGAAACTGACGAGATACCTCCTGAACTTACTGTTTTCTGTCTGATAGTGTATTAATCATAAATGAGTTTCCTAGTATCTACCGAGAAAAGTGACATTCAATAATTTATTGAAGCCTACCAATTTTACTCTTGTCTGCTGCTGAAAAACAGAAATATCGCATATTAGTACGTCACTGAATTTAAAAGCAAATGAATACTTTGAGCTGCCCAAGACTTCTCAATTACCATGGCCCAAATTTTATGTCATTATAATAGCTTGTAGAATAACTTAATCTCTGTCTAGACACATCAAGTAAATTTGCGGAAAATTACCAGTAGATAGTAGTTTTACTTCAAACAGGGTAGCTACTAAGACGAGATTTCATACAACTGATATAATACAAACTTATTAAAAATGGAATTGTTATCATCTTGGAACTTACCGATATACTTTTAGGAAGGTTCAAATGTTCTCCCATTTGACCGATTTCTCTGAATGCACTCAAAAGAACCCTATCAGTTGAAGATATATTACGGCGATTTCGATACAGGGGTTTTCCGTTCTCATCAAGTTGCCGTGAATCAGACGGTGATGGTCCACTAATCATAGTTGAAAGATCACCGCCATCTAATAAAGGATTTTCACTGGCTCCTACTCTGCACATATCTTTTGCGTAGGCATCATTTGAAAATGTACGCCATTCTGACCCAACGTCAATTACTCTAACAAAAACAAAGATGAAATTAACCAGTCCTGCGTATACAACGTACCTATCAGCAACAACCAATCCACACATCGAGCAAACCATATCGCCAGCATGAGAGTCTTCTATAAGAACGGCATATGGGTGATACTTGCATTCCAAATGACTCCTTCAAAACGGAGAAAAAAAGTGAATGTATTATGATGCAGTAATTGATGTGAAGAAAAACTTCTGGGTGGTACAACACATGCAGACAAAAATGGGGAAAACGATGAATAATGGTGTAAAATTGGGCATGGCTGCTGTAGAAACAATGGGTGAATAGTGGCATTGTTTTTCTTACCTGATAGTAAACTATTACTTCTCTTAACAGACCTAGTTAGGGAGTATTTCCTTAAAGACAAAAATAAGTCACTTGAAAAGTATAAGTGACACGTAAAAGGCATGGCGAGCGAAGTACAGCACCGAAGTTCCTAAACATCAGTAATTAAATATATTGCTCAGATATGATGAGTTGGTACTCATCACTGAAACCAAATCATGTGTTTCTCTGTGTGGAAGCAAACATAAAAAGAGACTATAAATGTAGCTGCATCGTACACACGTCAGCTGCACAAGTAACTTCCACAGGCTTTCATCAAAATCACTTCCAGTAATAAAAGCGTGAATGTTGCAAGGTACGAATGGATACAAATCAAACCGAAATCAGAAACACATAATCACCATACAGAACTAAGTGGAGGAAGATATCCCAATAAAAAATTTGAGGTTTAGGGTTCTTTGAGGCGAAATTTGGGGATTTTCAGGAGAAAATGAAGCATTTCCTCGAAATTTTTGCATTCAGTTGCCCGAAGAAAAAGCAGAAATTGCTCCAGAACTTTTAATCTCGGATAGTTAATTAAGTTCGATAACAACTGGAAACTTACTTAAAGTGCACCTAGGACGGCAGAACGCTGCTTTTAAATATTTCAATTATGCTTATCCGTAAATTAGTCTCCGATCGTATTTCTTTTGCCGCTAGCTTATTCACACTCATCATTCCCAACTTATTTTATTGCTGAATTAAATCTTACTGATTCTGAAATAATTCTAACATTCTATAGTGAGTAAATTCTGAATCTGTTCTGAAATGGGTTCTTTAATGGTACAGATCTGTTCTAGTCGACTAGAACTCAGTGCAGGTTTTCAGTATGACTAGCACTAATTCAGCACCGTGTTCTTTTTCTAGGCATTTTTAGTAGATAAGAGCCTATTAGGTTTGCTTATCAGCGTTGTTCCAACCCTCATAGGACATATTAAGCACGACCAGCGTTATTTCAGAAGATGGTGGGTAGATAAAATCTTCATTTACCATAAAAAGGCCTTATCGAAGAATAGGTTTGAATAAGTTTAGAGTTGTTGTAAGCTTGGGATTCCGACAATATTAGGTTTTCATCATGGCCATATAGGCGGACGCCTCTCATATTTAGTACCGAAAGAACACGCTTGAATATAAGAAACTGATAGGTACGTGTGTCATACACGAACAGAAATAATCAGTAATCCGCGAAACACAAAACACAGAAGTGACCAACATCTCTCACATTCCGCGCCCAACTCTTCAATATTTAATACCCGATATCTACTATTAAACATCTTTTCAGATTTATTGATTGAGTATGCAACATCTGAAGCTCCTTTAGTAACGGGCTTTTACGCTTGTCTTGTGACTCTTTGGAAGAGTCGGTTGAAGGCGCTGATGTGCTTATTCTGGGAGTCGGTTCTAGGAGTTTATGACTCTGTGTGAACCAGTACTCCATAGCATTATAGTTTCTTCTTGGCTTTCGATATCTCCTACTATATCCTCTAAGGTGTTATGACCTGGTGGGAAGGAAAAGAGAGGATAGATGAGGTCCATAGTCATTATTTAAAATTTAAAACACTATGACTAAATCTCCTCTCTGCCTACAGTATGACAGGGAGAAGATATTAAAACTGTCTAGTGTTTCTTCGTATTACAAATTAGTCATGCCGAGAATCATACGTGTTACCTTCTTTTGAATCCTTTGAAGAATATATTATCCCCTTAAAGACAAGGAGTGGCTGTCTGGATACAATTTTCCGGTCTAGACCTCGCTAGAAATTTATATGAGGAGATGAACGTATATCTGGTGATTCTAGTAGAGGCTGTGAGAATTATCCATAAGGATCTAAAACTATGTGCAACCAGCGTGCTGGATTGTGCTATAGTTTCTAAGCCGTGACTTACCATAACATTTAAATCCAATTGAGTCTGGACTGATGGGAGTGTTATTCCCTCTAGTTCATGGGAGCTGATGCTTGCGTGTGCAATGCGCATGGTCGCACATTTCGCTACACTGATAAAGAACATCCATTCTCTGGACCATTCTAACAATTTGTTGAGGTCCTCTTGTAGTAAGGGTATCACTGTCACTCTTCAGCTGTCCCCAGAATTTTCAGTTATCTGTATTTTGCCTATTGTTCACTATTATTCTCAATTAATCTTTCCTGGGCTTCTTAAAACAGACTATGTCATATTACGAAGGGTATTAAATGCTGTGAGTAGGGCAGTGGTTTGCCACTGCGTGAGCTCGCCAATACTATAGTCGAGAGACACGTAGATTCCTGTACAAAGTGGGTAAAGGCCGTACTGTCAGACCCTCTGCACCCTCTTTATTCACAATTATCCCCTTGTATCTCATCAGGTAGAACGAGAAGTCAATATAAGAAATTATATGCTCGTACCACTAAGTACAAAAATTCTACAATACCGTATTTAGCCCGTATTTTATGTGATGAAGACTCTGTTAGACGTGAAACATATAAGTTACTATGTAATTAGCATAGTGAATCGCCCCTTTCATTGTTCATCTTTCTGTAATTTTATGGTGTCACCCTTTCTATCGTTTAATTATAACTATTATCTATTTCATTTTAGTTGTTATTACTATCATTACCATAATTTTATACTTTATGCGTATTTTTCTCCTTATCGTATACTGTAATTGCTACATAGCTGCTATAAAAACGTTTTGTTATTATTATGTAATGATTATTTCGTTTATTTATTTTTTGTTGTTGTCGTTTTTCAGTAAATTAGATGCGATATTGTACTGAATGCTGAAAATTCCTTGCTGTATCATTAGTAATGTTTTGGAATGAAGCAAATTATTATTATTATATGACCATAGGGGAATCAGTGAGCACAAATAACTCATTGGTATACAAAGTAAATATGAGAGGTCCGAGTACCGTGCCTTGTGGCACGTCACGCACTGTTGTCCAAGAGGAGAGTTTGAAGTTGATCCTGACCCTATGTCTCCTACCTATGAGGAACTCCCTAATCCACTTCCTTTGACACTCAGACTATCCAGCTTCGTGAGAACTCCTTCGTGAGGAACTTTACCGAAGGTTTTGCCGAAATATATGAATACGATGTCGACGGGTCTTCTGTTTTCCCCTGAGTTGACCCACTTTCTCTTGCAGTGAGAAGATTTGGCATGCGTGAGAGGCTTCCCCGCAAGCCATGCTGCGTTCTGGATAACAGGCTACTATTTTCCAGAAATGCCATGATAGCTTCCTTGATGATTCTTCCAGTGTGATGATTAGGGTGCTGGTAAAACTAACAGACCGGTAGCTTGAAATACAATGTCTTGATCCTCCTTTTTGGATGAGGGTTACGACGGCGTCTTTCCAATCACGCTTGAGCCGGCTATGTGGGCTGATAGCTGTTTGAGACGCATTGGATGAAGATTATCAGGACCCATTCATTTCCCTTCATCTAGTTTCTTCAGGCAGTTTAGCACAACGTCATAGTCGACCTCAACGCAGTCTATCTTGTGTTCCAGTGGTGCGGCCTAAGCTGATCCTATGGGGAGTGACGACTCCTGGAAACCTAGGTTCTAGGCTTCCTGCCCATCGCCCCCAACAATCTAACAACACTTCATAGTGCACTGTGGTGGCCACTCACATAGTAAGGTGGCCATATTGCAGAGTTGACTCAACTCAGTCTGCACGAATCGAGTGGCTGAACGCATGACATTAGTTGTTCCTAATGTCCAGTCAGAGTAGTTTCATTCCCTCTATGTCGTATGAAGTGATGCCTGAGTGTTCAATGCACACATGAGCTCTTTATACTACGCTGATTAGGAGCACCTATCTTTCGGATCAGTCTAACAGCTGGTTGAGATCTTGAAAAGTCAGCTTGTAATTATTACTCTTATGCTATCTCCAGATTTCGGTCATATGCGTTAGGAACTACTAAAGGGTTGGTGAGCCCAGGTAGTTCGTTAATATACAATAAATAAGGGGGTCTGAGTACGGTGCCTCGTTGCATTTCACTTCTTATCGTTGTCTAGGAGGGGAGTTTTGAGTTGTTCCTGACTACATATTTTCTGTCTGTGAGGAGTTACCCAATCCACTTTAGCAAGCCACTTTTGATTCTAGAACTTTCCATTCTCTTGAGCAGCCTTGTGTGAGGCACTTTTCCAAAAGCTTTGCTGAAGTGTATGAAAACTACGTCGATGGTTTACTAGTTGTACCTTGACCTGACCTAGCCTTTCCTTGCTGTGAGAAGATTTGTCAGGTATGGAAGGTTTCTGCGGATACCATGCTCTGGCGTACACTCTGTCAAGTCTGATTCAGCGTCTTCTATTACTCATGCGCTTAAATCTCCTAAAAGGGCGTCTAAGGTATCAAATATAACTGAAATTAGTCAACCTTTCTCCTTCCCGTATCCTCACCATCTTTATACGACTAGTTGGAACTACTCAACTTCGAATATGAGGTTGCGTAATAGCGACTTTAACTATGCCCATATTCCAGGCACACAGCGAGATGGAGTCAATCGCCTAAACTTTCAGTATAGTCTGCTTGGGGCTCCACCGCAGAAACACTCCCCCGACACTAAAACCATCTTCACAACGCTTCAACTAGTCACTCTCCTCACCATTTTTTCTCTTTTCCGCACCCGACAGTAGTGACATCAATCAACCAAATGTCGAGTAATGGGATTCCTCACCCTCAAATCTCTCCTCTTCAGACACCCAGGATACCCCAGTTTCCATATGCCTATCTCCATGCGATCGTGAACTGAGCGTCAGCCACGGACGCCCTCATCTTTTCCGCAGAACCTAAATGAAAACGATCAAGGTTTTACGTGCCGAACACTCAATGTACCGGTCAGTCTGTCATCTAATTTTCATTTAACCCTAACAGAATCACACCATCATCTCCTTCATTTGCCTCAGCCCTTACCACTGATCTAAGATCTTTCACTCCTTTCCTTATTGACGCTCGTTTTGTCTGTAATAAAATTCCTTTCTTTCACTTTGTATGCCTTCGGTTTTGTTATATGCAGAAACCTGGTTACCATCCAAATTGAATGACATATTGTTAAAGCCTCCCGCATACACACACTTTAAACCTGGCAGAGAAAAAGGACGTGGTGGTGGTTGTGTTATTTTGTTAGTAATAAGTTCCACGCTGTAGATGTTTGTGATCTGGGTTGTTCGCTGACAGATGCAGCATGGGTCACAATGAACACTTACCTAAGTGCAAGGCTTTTATTGGGATGTGTATACCACCCGCCCAATTCTGATACTGACAAAACTAACCATTCATGCGAAATGTTTGAACACGCCTATCCTTTAAATATTGACTACAAAGTTATAGCCCACAACTTTAACATGCCTAGTATCCAGCGGAATAACCTAAATGCTCCCCTATACCCTGATTGTTTTATAAATACGGTTGAATTCTATGGACGGACAAAGATGTTTATCACCCTACACGTAAATCCAACATCCTGGATCTTATTTGCACACAGAACATTCTTCCTGTCAGCACTCGAGTTGGGCCGTTATTCCTTGGTAGCGACCAAAACACGGTCGTTTTTAACTTTAACCTAACGGCGAGTGGCTCATTTAATGGCTGTCGGTAGACAGTAAAAGTCGGAGACTTTTAAAAAGCTAGGTGTGAAACAATGCTGTCGTTTATTCGCTGCCAAGACTGGGATACCTTTTTCTCCTCGATAGACATTGATACTGTTCTCTTCAGTTTTTGCTCCAACATATCAGTTTGCTTCGACGAATCTATCCCTTGGTATAAATCCAAACGTAAACGTGTAGCTCAACTATATATACCGAATGCTACCAGCAACAAGCTAAGAAGGCTCCGTAAAACTTATGGTAAAGCCATGGACTTCTCCTCGTTCATTAGCACCCTAAAAGTATATGATAAAATCAGATCAGACAATTGCATGGAGGATTTCATCATGAGCTGACATCAGTTAGAGAACCACTGGAAAACCTAGGAGTACTGGACAGCTGTTCAGCACTCCCAGGTTTTCCAGTGGTTCTCTAACTGATGTCAGCTCATGATGAAATCCTCCATGCAATTAAACAAAATCCCTACCAAACCAATACTTGAAGATCAGACAATGCCAATAAAACTTACAAAGAAGAACTTGTTGTCCTTAAAAGTAACTGCAGAATTAGTTCTCTTCGCAAACTCTTCCAAAAAGGCTGCAACAAAACAAGATAACATTTCTTACATTCTTCATGATAATGCTGCTGTTAAGGATGATGCAGGCATAGCTGAACTCTTTAACAATCACTTTTCTGATTCATGCACGCACAGTATTTCTGCACGCATCGACTTTGATTCTGTATCAGGCAAAACACCGTCAAATATACACAAGCGATATCAGTTTCGCCCAGTAAACACTCAGAATTTGATGGACGTCACAGTAATATCAAGAAAATGGATTAGCTGTCTACTGGATATTGAACAGGGAGGAGGGCAGTTGCATGCCATTATCTAGTGCGAGGAAACTTCAAGGCCAAGTTGAAAGAATTAGAAGCAACTGGAGAAAAATGACAATTCAAGCTCAAAAATTACAATCTGAAGGAGGAAACTACAAAGGACACATTCATAGCAGCGATGAGATCAAAGCTAGAGACGTTACGCTACACTTCCGAAACCGGTATTTCTATAGAAACCGTCAAACAAATTACTGAAAAGCAGCAGTAGCACAACAACACATATTTGTAAAATGTTAATTTCCAGAGAGAGACAAAAGGCAAGCCAATTCCAAGTCACAATAAAACACATGGAAGGGCATTCATCATGCAATAGAGAAAGGAAGCCTTGTGAGAGGATATATTTCCTTCTAAGTTACTCACCCATCCTTCAGAATTCCTTAATCTCCACATTCAAGCGGCAGTATCATACACCGTTGTATAAGCCCAGTAGCATCACCTAGGAGACATGTGTGGAAGAACACTGAAGCTCTGTGAAGGCGAACTCTAGGGAAATGTGTATAGCCATTTTGGGAGTTGAGAAGAGTCAATACAAATAATGGCTTTCAGTGAACACTTGGAAGCCAATAAAAGAGGGGAGAATAGTGAAAGAGAAGATGAACCAACAGAAGATGCTGAGTTCAACATACATCTGACTGAATAAAGAAATGGCTACCTTGTAAAGCTACCAAAGAAGGGCGACTTAGGCCTCACTCTGCAAGAACTGGCGTGGAATAATGCTCTTGTCTACTTCAAGTAAAATACTAGGTCGCGTCATCATGGAGAGAATAAAAGATGAACTGGATGCTGAACTCCGCCCAGAATAGGCTGGGTTCATTGATTGATAGAATTGCAGACCTACGAATCATCATTGAACAGGGCATAGAACAGTGGTTAAACCTTTACCTCAACTTCATAGACTTCGGAAAAGCCATGTTAACAACATGTTAAGTGATCCACAACAGAAAACTCGGAGAGGCCTCTGAAGTGACTTAAGGAGCAGGACAGGCTGTCTACTGACGCCAGTGATGTACCTGATCGTGGTGGATGGGATAGTGCGACAGACCATGGGAAGCAACAAGACATGATTATGTTGAATAGACAGGATTCTAGAAGATCTGAACCTCTTGGATGACTTATGCTTAGTGTCATACTAACTCTGTGATCTATATGAAAAGTCAAATATTGGCATAAGAGGCTAGCAGCAAAGAGAGGACTACAAGGGAACACAGAAAATCGGAGGTTATGTAGGTACCTCACCAGCGAAAACAAGAACCAATCGAAAGGAGAAATTTCGGGCTTGTCGGATGTGTGATGAATAGTACTTTCAAGGGGCTGCAGACTATTATCAATGGCCGCGTTAGCTGGTCGGTCAGGAAGGATAAGCGACAAGGAACTTTGACAAACATGCCGAGGAAATGGAAATGGATTGAACGTACCCACCGTGGAGGCCGTTCAGTGACGTCACACTCCAGTCAGGTCCTCAGATGGAACTGGAACATGGAAAGACGAGCTAGGCGCCTGAGGATGGTGCGGGGGTGGTCATATGAGGAAGAGAGTGAAGCTAATGGTCACTCATGGATGATGATGAGTTGATGCTCATACGGTCTTCTACTTGTAATCCGATTATAACAGTCATAGTGATATCATGCTTAAGCGATATAAAAATATGGCCTTCATTTTTCACATGAAAAATAAAGAGCAGTTTCACTTCCAAAAATCGTTAGAGTATCTGATACATTTAATAAAGTAGCTACGCAGAGAGAAGCTTATAACACAGCAACTATGAGGTTTCACATATCAGATATTAAGGCTTGGTAGTTTGGTTGACCTGAGGGAAAAATAAAAGCTGCGCTACGTCTGTGATGAGGATAACAGTTTGTCTCTCTGAGGATTCCTTCTTCCCCTTGGAAATTTCTAAAAACACTTTAATTTCCGAACTTAAAATGATGATTGAAATAGAGAGTGGCATGTCAGGGGTTGATTTTGAATTGTCAAAAGAAGGAAAAGTTTTGAACGTCCAGTGCAATCTTGATGTTGAAACGGCAGGGATTAGGGATGAGGATCTACTGTTTGCTCTTCCAGTTCCACAGAAGAAAACAGGTAGCTCCAAATCAGTAAGTTTTTGTGGCTGCTCATGGAATTGAATTTCAGCAGAGTACTCCTCAGGCTCCTTTACTTGATTTCAAATCAATAAAAATCCCAAGCTCATCGGGTTCTAATGTGGTTGAAAATATTCGTAAGTCACTGACGAAAGTCCCCGCGAATCAGCTTGCGATGCTGCGTGAACGAAATCCAGAGTTGGCTGCTGTTATTAATGATCCAGGTACTTGTGTACACCTTTTTCACTAATATGCGTTTTGATGAGTAATCAGAGAGCAGGTAGTCCTACGGTTGCTTTTTGGCTGGTGTAATAGCTGAAGTATCAAACTAAAGTTCTTAATTGAGAACGGATCCAACAGAAGTCATGGATAAATATATATATATATATATATATGACGATGAACTTGCCTGATAGTATACTCTTTGTAACTAGCTCCTCCGCACGAGCAGTTAGACTGGTAAATACACATAGATGAAACGAAACAGAGTAGTTTGTCTTTCTTTCTTGAACTAAGTATTGGTTGGCTAGTGAATAGACAGCATAACTTGGATGCTTTGAAAGTTCTTTTGAAGGCCCTTCTAAGACATCATTATAAAATATAACGCTGTATGTGCATTTTGACTGCTAACAGTGCGAGAGTAGAGTATCTACACTCAATAATATCATTCAATATATAAGTCAAGTAATTATTCTTGGTAGCTGCAAGCGGATAATCTTACTGCTAGCTCCTGATGGTCTTAGGTAAATGTTTATTATATACATAAAGTGCAGTTATATTGTACAATTTTAAGTTATTCGTCAGTTGCGTTTCTACATTATACCTGTTATATAAATAAATATTTTCTTAATTCACATCTGTAAATTATTCACGTGAATTATTTTAATGATTCTTGTATACTAGCTGCCTTTAAGAGAGTGTTTGACCTACAACAAAATGCTGCTCGTCGACGTGCAGAGGAGCTTGAAAGCTTGATGTCTGCAGATGATTTGGATCCAACAGTTCAGGAGAGGATAGCTGAACTTATAAGGTTAGTTATGTTTATATCTGTTTTGCATGTCTGCAATTATAACTTTATATTTGTTAGCATATATGCTTCCCTATGGAAATTTCACCTTGTTTAAACTATTAGTCCGGTAGCCTACATCATCAGTATACAATGGAGTTAGTGATTTATAACAACCTTGATTAATTTATTTCACCCGTGAGCAGAGCAGCGCAGAGACAACAATGACTGCTTGCTAACTTTGTAAACTAACTTTCTTGTTTAGTGACCTTTGAATAATATGAATAATTTAACCTTTTATTCTGTTTTGTTTTCTTATGTATATATTTTCTTCGATCAACAGACAAAAAAATATTGATATGCAAATGGAAAGTGCTTTAGAGTATTATCCAGAGACATTTGGACAAGTTTCAATGCTTTTTATCAATTGTAAAATAAAAGATCAAGTTATAAAGGCATTTGTTGATTCTGGAGCACAAAGTACAATTATGAGTGAGAATTGTGCCCGTCGTTGTAATTTAGATTCTCTGATCGATAAGAGGTGGGCTGGAATGGCTTATGGAGTTGGCACACAAACTATTATAGGTCGAGTTCATAATGGTTTGATTGAAATTGCAGGTGTTTTTATCCCGGTCAGTTGGTGGTGAATTCATTGTTGTTGTTTTTTTAATCAGTTGATATACACCTTTCGTTTTGTGGCGTAGACTATTTTTTTGATTTGATTTAGTGTCCCTTTGGTTTTATGTTGGCCATATATGTGGAAACTCCTTCAAATGTTAGTGGACTTAGATCGAGTACATAATATATTTACTTAGATAGGAGACTAGTCAGTGACTAGTGTGGTGTGTCTAGTCCCTTGTTCGGTACAAACTGAATCCTATCAGTCAAGTTTGTAATGTGACCAGCATTCTAGGTAGCTCACCATCACCGTGCACTTTGAAGTTATGATATTAGATAGTTGGAGGCAATAAGCAGGAAGTCTTGCTCTACCTAGGTTTCGTGCTTGACTGATAGAATTCACTCTGAACCAAACAAAGGACTGGACACACTACACTAGTCAACGGACTAGTCTCCAATCTGAGTATCCGGTATAGTCCTACAGGAGGTCAATCGCGAGCCTGAATAGCTCAGTGGTAACGTTTCTGACTGCGGCACTGGGTGACGTCAGTTCGAATCTCAGAATGGACATGAGTTCCTCCAAGATTGTAGATACTACGCCTTGCTGACTGGTGAGTGCCAACTAGCATGAAACCTAGGTCGATTCAAGCTTCCTGCCGATTGCCTCCAACTATCTTATATCAACTAGATATATTTCCTTAGAATTTGTCTATGGGCTTGAACCGCACTCCACTTATCGAGACAGTACTATCAGTCATCATGTAATAAATTTGTCTCTTGCTTGTTTCCTTTCGACATACAAATGTTTATTGAATGGCTTCTTATGTAGAAACTCAAAAGATAGGGACTTCGTTTTAAATTCTGTGATTTTTTACTGTACTATTAATTGTTCATTGTATTAATGGCTATCGGCTGAGATCCATGTGGCGGAAGTTAGCTTTCTTTTTCTGAAATTACTACTATCTCTACATCTCCAAAGTTACTAAAGGTCATTGGTGAATCCTGAGATACATCTTAAAAGTATTTTGGAAGGAGTATGTCTGTGTAAAGATGTGTGTTAAATATGTGATTTTCTATGTAATGGGTCCGAAGTTCGAACCCCACTCCAACTACTTTATCCTGGGCAATTGGGTAGTATCATTGTCCTTCACACAATGTGTAGCTCATGGTCTGCATGACTGACCGACTGAATTTCAACATAGAACATAGCACAGAAGTTCAAGTTGCCACTCTCCATATGGTAGACAAAGGTTGAGAAAAGGAAACGAGATTCAAAAGAACTATAAGAAAAAATGTGTGGGAAAAAGAACGGTAACAGGGGAAAACATAGGGATTTAATATATATGGGAGACCACAAAGAGTGAATGCATCTGCGCCACTGAGAATGATTTCGAGCCATATCACCAATAATCTCAAGCCATTGGTCCTGAGTATCCTGAGGACCTCGGTCAATCAGCCAGAAGACGATGGCTCGGCATACTCAACACATGCCTTAGTCATCTCAATCGATGTAGCTTCATCACCAACCTCATCGATCGACTTATGCTCCTTACCTAAACCTCTACGTCTAACCTCGGTCTAACACAGAAGACTGACGGTAAATATCTGTAGTCAAGAACAGTGAACCTTTTCATATCTTCCACTTTCAATGGTCATGTTTCACACCCACAAAGAATGACAGAGTGAACTACTGCGCTGTACACATGTCATTTTATGGATAGTTGGATATCATGTCTACACCAGAGATGATGTGAGTTGCAATTCCATTATGGGTAGTGGAATGGAATGGAATTACACCCTACCACAGTGCACAAGTTTTATTCTCATATCAATGATGTGAGTTGGAAATATCAAATGAGTCTCTTATATTCTTACTGTGATTTCTTCAGCTATTAGTTGACTAGGGCTGATGCAACATCCCAAAATAAATGAAGAGTTCAACATGCTGTACGACTTCACTCCTTATTTTTAAGCTAGGAGTGAATGTAGTCCAGTCCTTTATCATTATCATCATCATACATTTGACAGGAGCAAATTGCATTTGTGCTCAAGGTGTTCAGAAGACTGTGTTGTGTCAGCGCACTCGAAAGAGTTTGTTTCGGACAAATTATGCACTTCTAATTGTCTGATAATGTATGATCATTTTATTTCCAGTGTGTCTGTCTGTGAACTTTATCTAATCAGTGTTTTGTTTAACCTTTCTTTATTTCTTCGTAGACATCATTTATTGTGCTTAAAGATCAATCTTTAGATCTACTCATTGGTTTGGATATGCTGAAACGACATCAATGTTGTATTGACTTAAAGCGTAATGTTCTAGTTATTGATGGTCGAACCGAAGCTCCTTTCCTACCGGAATCAGAAATTCCACCATCATTTGCAAATCCTTCCATTCTGAATAGTGAAGATGCAAGTAACAGATCTTCAACTTCTGATGAAGGCGTAAGTTTTGTGTCGTTTAAATACAGGTGTATTCGTATATCCTATGATTATGTCTTTTTAGTAGTTGATACATTGTCGAAAAGTGGACGTAGGTAGCATCATTCAATAGAGAAGACAATGGCTTTATTATTATTGCTCCATTGGGTTCCGGGTGGGACGTAGGGCTTCAACAGCACGTCCTCACCTTGTTCGTTTTCCTGCTGTCCTCTTTAGCTGAGTTCAGGGTTGCCCATAGTCTCTAATCTTCTTCTCACACGATCTCCTCAACGTCACCCTCAGATTAACGCCCAACTTGTCGTTTCCCATTCGGGTTCCATTCGAGCAATGGCCTAGCGCGCGATGTCATTCCATGGCCTGCTCAGTGCGTACTCAATCCATCTCCATTCTCACCTACATATTTGTTGGACGATAGGTTCTTGGTCAGTTTGTTCCCATAGTTTCTTGCTGTTAGTTCTTTCCGGCCATTTGATCTTCAATGTGGAGCCAATGAAGGCAGCTGTTGGTAAAAGTCTGCAACAGGCTGTTGGAGATGCTTTTCGTGACGCGCTGGCCAAGTTTTGAATCCATTTGGAAGAAGTGACTGACTGACTTCACATTTGTGTTGAAAATCTGAATCTTGTTCTTTATGCTGAGTCGGAGTGCAGGAGGCTTCCAAACCGGTTTCAGATTGATGAAGGTGTACCTTACGTTTCCGATTCTGGTTGGCTGGCTTTAACATCTTCATCCTTTCCACCTGTAGTTGAAACGACAATGGCTTTGCTGCTTAGTTATTCAAATTACTACCAACTCTCTACAGGATTAGAATATGTACTCGATTCGGTGGTAGTGCACTAAGCTATCGATTTCCTGTTACCTGTGACAGCCTGTTGAACAGTTTGATGTGTATTCATAAATACTATCAATAAACATGCTATTCCTTTTATTTTCTTGGGTTATTAGTATTCAAAAGTTATTCTTTGTTTGTGAAATACTTTTTTGGCACTCAAACAACCTCTATTTCTGTTAGACATATAATTTGTAAGAGTTTGTTAAGATAGGAGGAGTTAGTGTTTTCTGTGTGATCCGTAAACTAGACATTCCCCTTTAACCTAGGCCAACAGCTGCCTTCGCTCCATACTGAAGATCAAATGGCCAGAAAGAATAAGCTACAAGAAACTATGGGAACTATCCAACCAAGAGCCGATCGCTCAACAAATATGTCGGAGAAAGTGGAGGTGGATCGGGCATACATTGAGGAGGCCGCCAAATGAAATCTCACGCCAGGTCCTCTAGTGGGATCCCGTTGGGAAGTGACGAATAGGTCGTCCTAGGGTGAAGTGGAGGAGATCGTGTGAGGAAGAGATGAGAGAGTTTGGTCAATTGTAGACCCAGATGAAGAGGATAGCAGAAAACAGAACAAAGTGGAGATGTGTTGTTGAAGCCCTATGTTCCACTCGGAACGCAAGGGAATAATAAAAATAATAAAGGTCACGCCATTGGATTTTCATTGGTGGATGCTATCCAATCATAGCTTAGTTTTCATTTCTCAAACTAGTAATTTATTGGTCACGTGGAGTTGAAATATAATTAGCTGTAGTTTCTGGTCACATTGTCTTTTCTTTGAAGCACTAAGTTTTTGCTTTCTCAGTCAGTCTTCTGTGTCATATCAGTGTGTGAACAGTAGTCGAATGATCAGTCGTATATTTTGTTAGCCGTTGAAGTAATCGTATACCAAATTATTTCGGCCACAACAGAGTAATTCTCTTGAAGCAGTTATAACACATGTATTATTCATTTCAAACTACTTTATCCCGGGACCTTTTGATTGCACTTAGTTCAGTGTAAGGATTTTTTTTACCTTGCTCATTTCCTTGGGTTTTTTGCTATTCAAAGACAAGATAAAGTGAAATTATCTTCTGATAGCACCAAATTTGCCATAATTTCAAATAAATACTTTCTTCTATCCCATTGTGCACCTCGCCTTCCTCGATGGGCAGTGTTAGCTGACATAGGATCAGGTTGATGATGAGCTAATGGTGGTGGTTAAATGAGAACATGGCTTCATCAGTCAATGAAACCCACAACAGTTAGTTTAAACCACTTAGGAAGGTGAAGACTTCCTGACCAGTTGGGGTCCTCGGGACGGTAAACACCAATCGCTGGATATAAGAATAAAACTTGGGCATTGTGGTAGAGTGTAATTCCATTATGGGTAAATTTTATTTTGATAGTCTCACAGTGTTATACAGTAATATTTACTGATGACGTTTCGAGCACAATTTATTGCTCATAATCATATCAAGGTGGCTGGAGACAATTAGTGATATGGCTCAAAATCGTTGTCGGTGGCTGGCGCAGATGCATCCACTCTTTGTGACTTATAATACCCAACAAAACTATATTGTTCTTCGATATTACTATACTTTTCGCCTCATATCTCTGTTTACTGTTTCTATTTTGCATTTCTTTTTACTTTCTTCTCTGACTTGTGTACTGAGTGATGTGTGGTGACTCGAACTACTGCACACCGGTGCAAAGTTCTACGTTGAAACCAGTCAGTTAGCGTGCACATTTTGAGCAGAATTACTATCACGTTAGATATACATTAATTATTTATTCTGTTATAACACAAAATTGGCACACTATGGGCACTAAAAGATGTGCCACACGAAATCTCATAGTTTGCGCAAAGACTGGGACTTTGCTCAGATGCACAGACCGAACCAGGTGGTTGTCTTAAGTGGCCATCCCTGAGCCTTTGACGTGGAGTATAATCCGGAAGACAGTAGAGCAGCGTCGGGAGCTGTGTCCCTTTGGTCACCGGTAATCGAAACAAGTTCATCCACCATTCGATCCTCTCAGATTCTGGAGCCCATGTACACCGTAGGTTCGGAATCAGAGTTTTCTAGTTTTTCTAAGTAGGTTAGCATGTCTACAAATCCACATGTAAGTAAAAGACGTTTGCATTCGCTCTTTCACTTTTGTTAGGAACACTCTCGCCTCATGGAGGTTGTGAATAGGACACTAATGTATGTTACAAACCCATGGAGATGTACTGGCTATGTGCATCATTAGCCTAAGAACTAAACTCTCAGAAGTGCGTCCCGGTTTCCAAATCCCCTTCTACTTTCTTCAACCTGGGCAACTGTGTATTATCATCAATCCTCATTCAATAACTTGATGTATCAAGAAAGCCTGTTCCAGGTAATTGAGTACTAATCATGTAGCATAAATGTTGGTTGTCGAAATGTTAGGAATTGGTGGTTTGGGGCTTTCAATATCACCAGAATTTTCAAGATAATCCTCATTTATGTTATTTATTTTTCCCCTTTCCCTAAAATTGTTTTCTTCATCCCGATGATATCTATTTGCTGTTTCGAACCGTGCTATGTCAGACCATTGAACCTGTTTGGTTTTACGATTGTATCCGTTTGTTCTTGACATTTGTTCTATTAGTTTCGTTTTCTGTCAGAATGATGTTGTCCCCTGTCAGAAGTCATGACTCTTATCCATTGAAGGCAGTCTAACGTAGTCACTTTTCAGATGATAGGTTTTGTCTCGAACCAACATATCAGTTAGAGAAATCATTGAAGAACACGCAGCCCTGAACATCTGTCTCGTCTTATTTTGGGACTCTTCACCAGTACGTACCCACGACCCCACCGGGGATTGAACCCCAGGACCTTCAGGTTATGAGACCAGGTTCGCTGACTATTCAGCCACTTGGAATGGAATTCAATGGCCTGCTCACTGATGGTTACTGAATATCTGTTCTGAAGCCGTACTGAAAATTCGTCGACCTCCGGGTTCCACCATGTCAAAGTAAAGTTGGTGCTCTTCGAAGGTATTGGTGAAGGTAGCACTATATCACGAGTTGACAAAGTTAAAATTCACGAGCCAGTGAATTCCGACTCAAGTAGTTGAATGGCCAAGGAGCTTCGCCTCGTTAGATGAAGATTCTAGGCAGTTCAATCCCTGGTAAAGTCGTAGGTACACACAGCTGGCGAGTCCTGAAATATGACAAAACAGCTGCAGAGTGCTTCCTGTTTTTCACTGATCTCTCTAACCGATATTGGTTTGTGACAAAATCTATCAATTGAAATTAAATTAATTGTGTAAGCATAATATAATATATCATAAAGATTCTTCCAAGTATTTCAGGTAATGATGTCTAAACCTCTATTGAATTTTCTTTCTTTGTCAGTTGGATGAATCACAGAAATCAAAAATTCAGATACTGATCGATCGTGGTATTTCTCGTCCTCAAGCAATTGATGCATTACGTCGTCATCAATGGGATTTAGACGCAGCTTTAGCTGCCCACTTGCAAAATATGTTTGGTGGATTCAGATGAAGCAAATAAATAAATTAGTAATAACCAACTTTATTTTAGTTATTATTTTGGGAAATTTTAATCAGAAGAAAAAAATAAAGAAAAGATCAGGGGCTTTCTATATTGATATTACTTTCATCTGCTTTCTTCTTTGTTTTTATACTCTCAAGTGTCTAGGTGAATTCGTTAATTTACATATATAAATATAAATGAGCAATATATTCCTTGCCTCTATTTCTTTTGCATTTTTGTTAAAAAGTGAGTGTGTTTCACTAACACTTTTAACAGCGTATAGAAAGAAAATACTTATGACACATTTTTTTCTACTTGGCTTTTATTTTATTTTTTTAAATATTATTATGATTTAGTATAAATGGTTATTCCTTCCAGTAAGTAGTAGTTCATCCAGCACTTCCTATATTCTGTTAATGCGAATTAGTAAAATTTGATTGTACAGTGTTTAAAAAAATTGTTTTTACTTTATATAAATGAATTGGTTGTTTATTTATCTATTTATTTGTTAATACATAAACTTGGTATACTATACTGTTGGGGGTGCGGGGGGGGAGACCAAGAAATGCGTCAGATAAAATCTTATTTAGATAAAGCAATAAGAAGACGTAATTTGTCTGAATCGTGTAATGTATTTACGCAACACATTTCGAGCAATCTGATCACAGACGGACTTGTCATAGGAATATATATGAAATTAATGAAGAGGTAAGAGGTGAGAAAATAGACTTAGGTCAAGTTAAAAGGATACATTGGAGGACAAAATAACAATGAGGATCACTAAACCAAATAGCAGAGGTAATAGTACATCTACCCTGGCTGGTATCAAAACAAAGTTTACCAAGGTAGGTTTAGTGTGATGACGAATTGTTTTTGATGAACGCATAAAGGTGGTTTAAACTTCCTAATTGCCAGCTAGGGCTTCCACAAACTTTAAGATACGCCTCAAACACGTTTTAAAGGTAGGCTTAAAAGATATGTTAACGTCAATTTTATGTCCTGTCTCTATAATATGTTTCACAATAGATGAGCTAGGTCTCCTGTTCTCACCGTTAATAGGTTCTGAAGATTCCATTTGTTTCTGGAGCCATTTAGCAATATGCTATGAAGCCCTTACTTGCAGAGTTCGATGAGTCCTCCCTATGTATGTGTGTCCACACGTACATTCAAATTGGTAAATACAGTGGGATGTGACGTCATTTTTCGCATGTTCAAAGGGCTTAGATGGATATATTGGCTTTACATTCTCTATTATTATGATATTGGCTGCATAAAAAGTCTTTTTGACAGCAGCGTTCAGTCTTTGTCTAGTTATCAAGCTGCTTTGATGCCCCATATAGGGTAGCTTGAGGTACACGTCTTTCTTAGGGTTGAGTTGGAGAGTGAGTCTTGGTGTTCTGACTACTTTATATCTTATATTTAAAAAGAGCAATAAAGGTTAATAAAGCAGGATTTAGTGAATTCATCGCCATCAAAAGGAGATGGTCGTGACTCTGAATCTACCATGGTAATACGTTTTACTTATTATTCCACCTCGTATTATTATTATTACTATTATTATTCTTGATTCATTTAAAACTATCCTTTATCAGTAGCATTATCTTAACTCACTCTGTTTGCAATTCTTCTTATATTCTCTAATGACTAATTGTTCATCTAAGTGATGTAACTGAAGCGTAATGCATTTTGTCTTAATTTTTGATCTCTCATCCTCTCTCTCCCCTTATCTATTTGAACATGACCTGAAAACATTCACACCTGTCTTTCTGCATGACTAATTCAATGTAGTTTGTTTACTTACCAGTCTTATATCTCCCAATGTAATTTTAAAAGTATATAAATCCGTGTATGTAGAGTATTCAGCTGATGAGCTCTACCGAAATTTGATGAATTCATTCAATCCTGCTTTATTAAACTTTATTGCTTGTTTTAAAATCGTATAGCCTGTGTGAGGGTTGGGATACTGCCGGGACACCCAGACCTGGAGAGGCTACCCTCCCTAATCTTCGATTTGAAGTCGTCTGATCCTCAAAGTTGTAGAGCAGCGTTAGGAGCTACGTTTCTATGGTTTCCTGTGACCAAAACAGTTTCATACATCATTCAATCCTTTCGGATTGTGGGGTTGATGTTGCACCATAAGTTTAAAACCAAGGGATTTTTAGTCCCCCTAAGTAGAACAGCATAGTCACCAGTTCGGTTGTAAATAGCATTTGCCCTTTCAGTTTTGTGAGGAATACTTGGAGAGCATGAAAGCAGTGAATATGACTTACCTGGCGTAGGTTGTGAACGTGTGGCCATATGAGAGCATTATAAGAGGAAGACTGAAGTCTACTCACTCTCGGTCTTAGCATTTCGTTTATAGGGTCATATAAATGAATTGTTTTCTTTCTTTTCATTTAACAAGTTGACAGTACAATCCTAGACAATAACGATTATTATTGTTATTACTCATTACTGGAGTTCCGAGTGAAACAGAGGGGTTCTGTGGTACATTTCCATTGCACCTGATTCTCTGCTGTCACTTTCAGCTGCCTTCATGACTACTTGCACGCTTTCATATTTCCTTCTTACATAATATTCTCCATGTCATCCTAGTAAACCGCTCGTTTCTCATTCGAGTTCCACTTGAGGGTGTGCCTGGTATGTGGTATTACTTGCAAGTGGATCTCTTCAGCTTATATTCTATCCACCTCAATTCCCTTCCGTTTAAATTTTGTGCAATAAGTTTGCTGATAGAGTATTTTGCTGCTTATGCTTCCTAGTCGGTGATCTGATCTTCGGTATCGAGAGAAAAGGTCATCTGTCAGTGAAAGTCTGCAGTAGCCTATTGGGAAGTCTCCCGGTGAAGTACGCGCAAGTCTGCAGACCATATAAAAACAATGACTTAATATTATTACTATTATTGTTTCCTTTAATTCCTAGAGGAACATAGGTCTTCAGCCGTGCGTCTCCATTGCGTTCGGTTCTCTGCTACAGTCTTCACCTGGCTCCAAGTCTGCCCACACATTTTCATCTCCTCTTCACATGACCCTTGGACGACCAACTCGCCGCTTCCCTTTCGGTTTCCACTCGAGCAATGGCTTGTCTAGTGATGTCACTTGATGGTTTCCTCAGAGTATGGCCAATCCATCTCCATTTCTTCCTGCCTATTTGTTTCACAATCGGTTCCTGCTGAGTTGGTTTGCTCATTGCCAGAGATCTCTGTTGCTGATCTTTTCTGGCTGGCCATCTGATCTTGAGTGGTATTGAGCGAAGACAACTGTTAATGAAGGTCTGTAGTTTGTTTGAGATGCTCTTTATGACGCTCTGGCCTAGTCTCTGATCCGTATAGTAGCACTGACTTCACATCGGAGTTGAAAATCCGGATCTTATTTTTGATGCTGAGTGCTGTCGACCTCGACACAGACTTGAGAGTAGTGAAAGCTTGTCTTGTTTTTCCGATTCTTGCTTTGATATCCTCGTCAGTTCCGTCTGTAGTTGAAACGATGCTTCCCAGGTAGATAAAAGAGGTTGTTTCTTTCAGGCTCCTTCCATTTATGCTGATTGTTGTCTGTTGTTGCTGTTGGTGGTGTTGCCCAGGAATCTTCATCATCTCTGTTTTCTCTATGTTCACCTGAAGTCCTATCTTCTCCGGGTGCTTCTTCTGCTAACTTGTTGCTTTTCGCTTGCATATCTTCCAGTTTGTGGGAAATCAGACGTATATCATCGGCGAAGTCCAGATCCTCCAAGTTCTTTGTGTGAGTCCATTTTATGCCTGTTTGCTCATTGCCCACTGTTTGTCGCATTATCCAATCTACTGTAATCACGAAAATCATTGGCGATAGTAGGCAACCCTGTCTTACTCCTGTCCTCACTTCGAAGGGTTCCGTAAGTTTCCCATTGTGGATTACTTGGCATGCAGCATTGTCGTATAGCTGTTGGATGAGATGTATTATTGTCGGTGGCATCCCGTAGTAGCGAAGTAGTTTCCAAATCACCTCTCGATCGACGCTGTCAAAGGCCTTTTCAAAGTCGATGAAGTTGAGATAGAGAGGTGACTGCCACTCAAAGCTTTGTTCACTGGTGATCCGTAATGTGGCGACCTGATCAATGCATGACTTGTTTCTCCTGAATCCAGCCTGTTCCGGTCGAAGTTTTTCATCCAGGGCATGTTTGATTCTCTCCAGGATGATGCGGCTTAGTATTTTGCTTGGGATGGACAGGAGCATAATTCCGCGCCAGTTCTTGCATTGACTTAGGTCTCCTTTCTTTGGTAGTTTGAATAAGTATCCTTATTTCCAATCCTCGGGTACTTCGCCTTCTTTCCACACCTTCTCCAGTAGTGGCGTCATCAAGTCTGCTGTTGTCTCTGTGTCTATTTTCAATGCTTCTGTTGAAAATCCATATCTTGTTACTTCTGTAGAGTGTTGTAGGTCTCCACAGTGATTTCAGAGTGACGAGAAGTAAGCTAGAAATAATACAAGGCTAAAATATTTTGTCATAAGCAGATAGGATATCATCTTAGTGCTACTGCATGCTATGGGTGTACTTCCATCGGTCGCATACTTCTTCGTTTCTGGATGCAGGAAATCAAAAGAACTCGTACACTAATTAATTTCAATACAACTGTATTCTTACTTTTCGGTGTATTTCTAGATGATGTTATCTAGTGGTTTTATAGTGCATGTGTGAAAATTATGCTTTCATCATCTTTATTGATTAAAGTGCTGCTTACCATTTGCCTACCGCGTAGTGGAATTATTTTAACTTCCACAATTCCATCTAGTCTTCACATTGGAAACTTGGCTGTTTCATTGATTGTGACTATGTATGCGGCTACGCACGGGAAGTTTCATTAAGTTATAGTATTTGCATTCTGTCATTTATAGTTATTTGAGTGACATCGTGCACCAGACACTCGAGTGGAACCCGAATATAAAGCGACAAGTTGAGCGTCTATGGTTGACACGGAGGTTCAATATTGAATCTTTTCTGCAATGCACTTTAAGCACAATGTTCCTCTCCTTAGCAGCAGATGTGTTATTATTGACTATTTTTGTGAATGTGTGTATGATGGTTTCAAATAACCACCAAGAGTCGCGAAGACGGGGTGGGAGGAATGAACGTGTATGAATTTAATTCAAACCTAATATTTGCAAAAAGGGGCTGTTGGAGATGACCTGTCGATTGCATTTATCAAGTGGTGACCAATGCACATTTGTAAACTAATGCTTCACATAACTTTGCGTTTCTTTGTATGTAAAATTTAAAAGAAATAACATACTAACGATTAGTTCATTGTTACGAGGTTAAGAAGTTGGACTGGAAGCGAGTTCAGTGTATGTGGGACAACCATAAATCATTGTAATAATAGAATATTTGTAGCTCAGGGGTTCTCTGAGCTGGTTGGTTTAATTGTGCAACTTTCGTCATCCCTTTGGACAACATATTCAGCGCAATTTTTCGCATAAAATGAACTGATTTAAATTCTCCATGAATGCTAGAATTACGTCTCCT